GCGAGATACTCTTGGTAGCTTTCCAGACTCTCCGAGAGGGGTGAAGGAATTGAACCCAGGTCAGCCGGGTCAGCCGGATGCAAGACAAACGTCCATGTGTATCCATATCTATTTCGTGATATTTCCATTTATGCTGATAAGAATGTGTTCCTCATGGTCATGGAAGTACCACACTGGATTAACGCAAAGTGGAGATTTGCTACAAAGGGTTGTCTAAATCTGATTTAATGAGACATGAAAAAGGAAAGCTGCATTTTGTGACAAATTTGTTCCCTAAGGGATACACCTGGAACTATGGGAACATCATTCCATAACAGATTTGGGAAGACCCAGGACACAATGACAAACACAGTGACTGTTGTCGTGTGAAATTGAAAGCAGGTTATGTGACAGAGGTGAAATCATCTGGAATGAAGTTCTTGACATATTGTCTATTACCATGAAAGGGAGACTGACTAGAAGGTCGTTGTCATTAATGTGGATGATTCAGATGTGGCCAATTTTAATGGTATTAATGATGTCAAGTGGCTGAAGGCTAGAAGTGACTGTGTACTAGTTTAGAAGACACAAGCTTCCTGATGGAAAGTCAGAGAACTGTTTTGCTTTCATTGTGGACTTAGAAGGAATTTCTAAGTAAATGATGGTTGGAGGGCTTGCTTGAGATGGTAAATGCGTGCTGAAATTAAACTATGGACCAAATATGATGGCTGCTTAGTACCTGTATTGCAAACCATAGGACCAAGAAGGAGAGAGAGAGTAGAGGAATTGTGCCTGCCACAGAGGCAGGGGTGGGAGGGTGGGGGAGGAGGAAGAGGTGGAGGTGGTGGCAGGGATACTGGAAACATTGGTGATGGAGAATGGGCACAGGTGGAGGGATGGGTACTCGAACACTGTATGACCAAAACATAACCGTGCAAGTTTGTAAGTCTATAACACTATTTCACGGTTATTCATTAAAATAAATAAATAAATAAATAAATAAATAAAATGAGTAGACTAAAGCACACACAAAAAAGTAGTTCACAACTGGTTACTGAAAGGATGCAGGGCCATCTTAGAGCACTGATCACCAAGAAAACTGATGGGAAAGGAATCAGTTGCAGGAACATGACAGTGTGTGAATCCCTTCAAGTGCGATCCTGTTGCTGCCAAAGCCATCATGGATGCTTTAGTACCACCATGCAAAACTGCCTGCCAAGAACCTGCCAAGATGTTCAAAAGTGGCTCCATTACCAGAACTGTCTGTCAAACACTGTCCTCCTGTTGTTCATCGATTTGCTCAAGCAGGCCCAGTAACGTCTCCATTGTGAGACTTCTTGTTACTGTGTTTTGCATATTGAATACTTTCGGTAGCTTGCCAGGCTCTCCAAGAGGGGTGGAGGAATCGAACCCGGCTCGGCAGGGCTGGCTGTGCGCAAGGCAAATGCCCTACCGCTGTGCTATCACTCCAGCCCCATTACCAGAAAAACTAAGAAAATGTCCTGAAATGCTAGATGAAATTTCTGAATCCTAATCATCTGAAAGTATTAGATACAAAGTAGTTTTCCAGAGCTTTAAAAAAATTGTAGAATTAATCTAGGTAAAGCAAATTCGGCTATGACCAATCCAATATATTGGAATTTTATTCATTTAAAAGCATTTTTTTCATATCTTCAATTAAGAAAACTTTTATTTTGTGCTAAAATATCAAAGTGATTGTAAATTAGAGGCCAATTGTGGATAAATATACATATTCAATAAGTACATATTGGATGCATATGTTTCTCCCACGTTAGGAAATAAAATTATATTACTGAAAAAAATTTCTTCTTTTCCCTAAAAGCATGAAAAAATAAAAAAAAAACACCTCTCCCAAAAGCTTAAGAAAAGTCAGGGGAGTATCATAATTTTTCATGATAAAATCTAATTTTATCTTCTCTCTGACTTACATAAGTACTTCACACAAAGAAAATCATAGAAACCCTTGAGAAATTAATCATATAATTTCTTTAAAATTTCTTGACATGGCCATCTGGGAAACAGTATACAACAGAATATAGAAAGATCAATGTAAAGGTTGGGTTAGTATTTCAACAGTGACCAATTAATTATCCCCATGGCACCAGTCCTACTTTTAGTCTCTGCCTCTCTTCCTTCATCCTCTTGCAATATTTAGGAGTTCTGGGCTCTCTGTTCACTGCCTGGGTACTTTCTGCTTGGTGATAAAAAATAATTTGTGGCAAATTTATCACAGGTGTCAGGTCTGAGTATCTGAAATTTTCATTTGACCCAAGAGAACAAGGATGCATCCCTATCTTTAAAAAAAAAGGTGAGGATATGATGGAGGATAATTAGACAAAAGAAGATATCTTGGGATATATGCACCCAAGACTGTAGAGAAGGGATATGGGCACTTTTGTGGAAGATGTGGTATAGTAAAATTACACCCCTAAAATATTCATGTATTTGGAAACCAATCTTTTTTCTTCTAATAACTGCAGACATGAAATAAAAGCTTTGTCTAGTCATCTTCCTGGAATGGTCTCAGGAGAAATGTGATGATCCCATTATCTGGTTAAGAAGTGGTCCTTACTATTGCATGTTTGGGTGTGTTCCACTGATGGAAACAGAGCTAGCCCTTTTATGAGACCCTAAAAAATCCAGAGAGGCGGGGGGAAATGTGATTACTCTATTATTTCTGCTTTATTCTGGTACTGCAATAATCTAGCTTCCATGGAACCTTGTGGTGTAAAGAGTTCTATACTCCAGGGCTTTGTCAACCAGGAACACTGACAATATGACAATGAGCCTTCTACTCTTCTCTTCCCTCATCTCAGATCAAGTTCTCATTTCTTGCAATAGGATTGCTGCAAGGAGTGGGATCTCTACCCTTACCAGGTGTCTCCTTATGTCCCTGGATCAGGAGTTGCAGTGACTTGGATAATCTACCTCTATCAAGTTGAACAGAAGCCAGGGTTCCTTCAGCCTGTCCTTGGGCAGTGTCACTAGAGGTAAGTACTTTGATTGCATAAGCAGCCTGAGAACTTGGCTAAAGGGATTTTGTAGTATAGATACACTCTATCCTGTAGACACTCAATTCTTATTATTGAGATACTAGAATTAAACAAGTCATTACTGATGGAATAATCACAAGAATATACATTGAGCATTTATAAATGAGTGAATGTCTGGTAGCAAGAATGTCTTTTTATCTCTCCTGCTAATGAGCACGAGACTAGCAAGAGTGGAATAAATCTTTGATTTACTAGATTTTTTGTATTTGAACATCTCAAATATTTTTGTTCTCCATCCTTATTCTATAAAACCTGCTAAATTTTATTGTTTAATAAGTTAATACAATGTGAGAGAGTAAATAAGATAACCATGACCTTTCATATATGATTAAAAACTTATTTAATGTGCATCATTCAATTTTATTTATATAATATATGATTAAAAACTTATTTACTGTGTATTGTTCAATTTTATTTATATAGTTAATCCATACTGGAAATTATCTTAAGACTCTACACATACAATGAATGAGCTACCACTTAGGCATATTCCTGCTCCGCCTCCCAGATTTGTTCTTTTAGCCCCATTTTGAACCATACTCAGTGGTGCTCAGGATTTACTTTTGACTATTTGCTCAGGATTCTCTCCTGGTTGTGCGCAGGGGACCATATTTGCTGCTGGAAATTGATCCCGGCTCTTCTGCATGCAAAGCAAGCACTTACCCATTATATTATCTCTCCAGTTCTGTCCTAGAGTCATTCTAATTTTAAAATATATTGCCACAATACTAACAAACAACAAAGTTATTGGATTCAGACATTGGTTTAGAATCCAAGTTATGTGTTTCTGCCTTTATGGAATCACCAAACTTCAACATTCCTACAGAAAAACAGATGCAACCATGGGGCACATATATACTCATTTTTATTATTGTGGAGTCTAATGGAAATACAGACTTTCAGTGACCAGAATAGTATCAAGAGTATCAAACCCTCTGTAGTTATTGTTAATGATGATGATTAGGAATAGGATTTTATTAAATATATTAAAAGATAGGTACAAAGGAAATTTTGTAAATTTATGACATTTATCAGTGGTTGTGTTTATTTACAAATTGATAATGTAAAATGCAAAATCTCATAGAATTGCAAGTATAGATTTATAATATTGGCTGATTATCATGCAAGTAATTCTTTTTTTTATAATTTTTATTAGTGAGACACCATGAGGTATAGTTGTAGACTTACAAATTTTGTGCTTGGGTCTCAATTATACAATTGTCGAATACCCATCCCTCTACCAGAGCCCATTTCCCACCACCACGGGTCCCAGTATCCCTCTCACCCCACTCCCCTCATCCCACACTGCCTCTGTGGCAGGGCATTCCTCTTTGTTCTCTCTCTCCTTTCGGGTGTTGTGGTTTGCAAAAGAGGCATTGAGTGGCAATCATGTTCGGTCTATAGTCTACTTTCAGCATGCTTCTCCCATCCTGGGAGGATCCTCCCAACACCCTTTATTTGGTGCTCCCTTCTCTATCTGAGCTTATGCAAATAATTCTTTCAGGTGATCATTGTGTATTTAAGAGTACAAAGCTGAAGAGAGAGTACACAAAGTATTTTTAGAATCATAATACTAAGATACAAATTTTAGTAGCACATAGGAAACATCGACATCTCATTGAGAGGAAATTAAATGTTTTATATTAATTTGCATACCAATATTAATGGATATACTTTCATTCTTCATTCTATAAAGTGTGAAACTGAAGTTCACGAAAGTAAACTTTCCAAATATAGCCTCTCTCACAGGAGTTAGAACAGAGGATTAAACTAATATAGAGCAAATATTCCTTTTATTAAGAAACACTTGGCTGTACTAATTTGAAATATGTCTTTCCACCTTGTTAAGTTACCAGTAACCTTATTATATGAGTCTTTAAAATACTTGTGATCACAGCGATACCTTTATTGTAGAATAAGACGGTGATACACTGTGGAAAGAGACTCATGGAAGTGAGGAATGAGACAACTGTCCAAGAATTCATTTTGGAGGGGTTTCCTGCTGTCCAGCATCTGGGAAAGGTTCTCTTCCTGGTGCACCTGCTGGCATACCTGGCATCCATGGCAGGCAATGCGGTCATAATCACCATCACCTGTATTGACTCCAGGCTCCACACACCAATGTATTTTCTGCTCAGTGTTTTCTCCTTTCTTGAGTGTTGCTGCACAAGTACTGTGATTCCGAAGTTGATGGTCATCTATCTTTTAAGGAGACAAACAATTTCCTTTGTTGCCTGTTTCACACAAGCTTTTGTCTTTGTATCTCTGGGAGCAGCAGGTTTCCTCCTCATGGCAGTGATGTCTCTGGATCGGTACCTGGCCATTTGCAGGCCTCTGCATTACCCAACTATCATGAACTTGAAGACTTGTCTTTTATTGGCTGCCACCTGCATTTCTTTAGGCTTTATTCTTATTGCTGGTCTGGTGGTGAAGATTTCACAGTTATCTTTCTGTGGTCCCCATGTCATCACTCATTTCTTTTGTGACCTTGGCCCTCTGATTCATCTTTCCTGTTCTGACACCAGATTTGTTGAAACCATGACCTTTGTTCTTGCCTTGTTTATCCTTTTGACATCCCTCATCATAACCATCATCGCTTACAGCAACATCGTAGTCACAATCATTCGTCTCCCATCAGCCAAGGAGAGACAGCGAGCTTTCTCCACCTGTTCATCTCACCTCATTGTTCTCTCTCTGATGTATGGTAGCTGTGTCTTTATCTATGTGAAACCCAAGCAAACAAACAAGGTGGAATCCAACAGGGAGGCTTCCCTTGTGGCCACAGTGGTGACCCCTCTGCTGAACCCTGTCATCTACACTCTACGGAACAAGCAGGTCCACCAGGCTCTGAGGGAGAAAATGTGCATAGTAAAAATGTCACGATAAAATGTTCAGCTGCCTTTAGAGTTGCTACAGAGAACTATGTGGCTGCAATCCAGCTGATGAAACTGTTCACAGAATTCCTAGTGAAGAGTCTCTGGAAGTAATCACTTGTCAGTTGCGGCAAAACATAAATCTCAGAGAGAGAGAGAGAGAGAGAGAGAGAGAGAGAGAGAGAGAGAGAAGAGAGAGAGAGAGTCAGAGACAGAGAGACACAAAGAGAATGTGGGAAGAAAAGTGCTTGCCATAGAGGCAGGTGGAGTGGGGATGAGGGGTGGAGGGGAAACTGGGGACATTGATTGATAGGTGGTGTACACTGTACACTGGTGAAGGGACAGGCGTTGAACCATTATATATCTGAACAATTGTAACTGTGTATCTCTCTATGATTAAATTAAAAGAGCATAAATACCAATTTCCATTGACTTTTCAAGATCATGGTTTACCTTGTTTCACATAATTATCTTATAAAAATATTTAAATATTATATTTAATATTTTAACTGCAAATTCATTTATTGTAGTTTTTCCTTAAGCAGTGTTTAAAATTGCCAATTGTTGATAATTTATCTCAATCCTCTTTAGCTTTAAACATGTTTCAACAACATTAACATTGTTTACCAAGAACTTGAATAAGTTCTTCATGTAAGATTGTATACTGTGTTGTGGTTAGGAAAAAACTATGAAAATAGCACTACTTTCTTCGTGCCTAAACCATCTAAATAATTATTATAATATTCCTAAACTTGGACTATAAATGGTAGTTAGTTATAAAATGTGTTCTGAATTACTTCTTTTGATCCTTAGTTAAGCTGTACATGTTCACATCACTATCAGGCTGAAAAAGAAATAAGGAGGCTTGTAGTATTGGATTGTACCCAGAGCAACTAATTTCCCACAACTGACCAATGCTTTTACTTTTCTAAATTATGTATTCTAAATATATTCTGGTCCTAGAATGTGACATGCGTTCTTATGCCTCTGTTCCTAAAATTGTTAGTATTTAATTTTAATCTATTATTATAATTATAAATATATCGATGCTGTTATAATGACCTTACTATTATTATAAGTTGCTATAAAACCTCACTATTGTTATAGATCTATAGTACCTGTGTGTACTTCAAAGGAAAGAAGAACTGTATTTTTATTCGTGTATTATTATTTTATCATTTTATTTAGTTTTGGGCCATACCTGGCAGTTCTCAGGGGTTACTCCTGACTCTGTGCTCAGGGGTCACTCTTGGCAAGGCTGAGGTGACCATATAGGTGGCAGAAGATTGAACCTAGGTAATTGCATGCAAGGTTAGCACATACCATTGTACTATATTGCTCCATCCTCAAAATGGAGAACTTGAAATAAAGTCATTCAAGTAACTGGATAATAAAACTATATTCTTCGTGTGTAAAGAATAATAAATTAACATCTATGCATACCATATTATAGTCACTCCAAATGTCTAGTTTTCATCTTTCACTATACAATTGGCCTCTCTTTTTAGCCATTTTATGCACCTGAATTGCTGGAAGGGAGCATTTATTTCGCATTTGCATATTAGTTTTCAAGAATTCTAAGTGGTGGACACTAGGTTATTTCCTTATATATTTGATGTTACAAATAAAAAAATGTTGAACAAAACCAAACTTTTTCTAGTAGACTAGTTGTCACGTATAAGATTATCTTCTGACTGATAAGTGGCGCAATTGGTTAGCGCGCGGTACTTATAATTTTAAAATGATAATATTTGTAATCTTAAATCTCAGTCTTTGTTTTTTTTTCCATAAGAGATATGTGTCTATTTTGTCTTTAGAGGAAATATATCTGAATCAGTAACAATTTTTTCTTTTATTTGCTTTATAACCCACCTCTGAGATTAGATAGTCATAGCTAAATTATACAAAAAACATATTAAAGAATCTGAGATTAAGGAATCACAAGAATAAACTGAAGAACATGGCTAAATTACTGAAAAGAGTATAAAGACCTCAACATGTTTAGTCAGAACTTGATAATAAATTTAAATATATATAGTAATCAATTATTTTTTAATTTGAGGTAGACCACACTTGAAAGATCTTGAGAAGCAGAGAATTAATCCCAGAAATCTAAAACTGAATTTTTGCATCCAGGCAGTCTTTATCATTCATACATGGTACACAATAAGGAGCAATTTATGATAAGGAATTTGATGTATTGGGTTCTAGTATGATAAAAAATTTTATTGAGAAAAAATACTTTCAGTCCATTCTACATTAAATATATTTCTAACCCCTACACTTTATAACTTTATTGGTATTACTTTGACAAAAATTTGAGATATTTAATATATATCAGCTATTCCGTGTGGGGATCAGTTTGAAACCTTCATCACTATCAATAGCATAAACTTATCTCTTACATCTTCACATTTTTCCTATACCTTTTGTTGTTCTTTCTTTGATTTCTTTATAAGGCTGAACTTGTAATATAAGGTCTCCCCTCTTAATTAAGTCTTATAGAGACAATAATGTTATTAACCACAAACCCTATTTATTTTGTATAACACAAGATTTGTATGCTTTGATTAATATCCCCTCATCAATCTCTGGCAACCATCAATCTATTTTGTTTATATGTATTTGCTTATATCCAAATAAAAAGCGATCATGAGGTTTCTATTTTTCTGTATCTATCATTTTACTTAGAATAACATCTTTAAGACACCTCTATACCATTACAAATGGCAAGATTTTCTTATTTTTCAATGATGAATAATACTTCACTGACGGTTTATAAATCTGTTCTGACTGTAGTTGTGAGTTCACAAAGTAAATTGCAGTGGCTGCTGCTGAGATGCGTATGTGCATTCTGTGGCCCAGAGCCGAGTTCCCGTCTCTCCACCTCCCAGGGCTCCCCAACAGAGAGACAGAGAGACTGAGAAATGGGGGACCACACTCTGATGGTGAAAATGGCCCCTTTAATGCATAGTTGCTAGCATACTTATAGAACATCTGAAGGAGGTTGAGGTAAGGACATAGGTGTGATTGATCATTTACATAGATAAACATTTGGCAGAGGAAATTCTCTTGGGGAGATCAACTCAAGAAGACACTCTGTCTCCCAGGGACATCAACATTGCTTTTATCTTTCTCTCTAGTTATATAAGTTATCAGTACTTGCAGTTGTTTGGTTAAACACAATAAGAGGCAAAAATCCCAACACTTAGTTCTCTGTGAAGAGAGCAATCAATGCTTTTACTGTAAATCCCAGACTAAATCCTCAGGCCAGTTTAGCTTGCCCTTCCTCGGCGGAGTCCTGTATCTTAAATTGTAACAGCTTGCATCAAGATCATGCATTTATGCTTTCTAGAATGTCCCATTTTGATCCTGGGTAGCTTTGCTACTCGCCCCCAGTCCATCCATTCCACAGCGGAACCTCTCTTTTGGGGTGTTAGAACTACAGCAAGTGAAGTCTGAGTCAAGTAATTATGACCAAGTAATTATGCCCAGGAGTAGATAGATTTCAGAGTCAATCAACTCCCAGATACTAGGAGCATAGCATTAATGGTCTTTCTGTGTTTAACCAAAGAACATTGTAAAATATAAAAAGGCTATAAGGGAAATGGAAAAGCAGGTACAAATAAGCACTTCAAATACAAAGCAGTACAAATATAAAGTTCAGAAAGTTTTGGCTTATACGTAATCAAGACTGATTTGGGGAATTGTGACAATGAGAGGTAAAATACAAGGGAAAGATTAAAGATAAACTTTTACTAAATTAGGGATGCTAGCAAGAGCATGTTAAGCTTCTTTGGGAAGAAGAAAGGGGCAATTCATCAATGAAGCCTAAAGCACATAGGGTTAAGATCCAACACAAAGGAAAGGTTGAAGAAAGACTTTAATCAAATTAGGGATGTTAGCAAGGGCATGGTAAGCTTCTCTGGGAGGAGGAAAGGGGCAATTCACCATTGAAGCCTAAAACACTGAGGGTTGGTTGATATCCAACAGTAGTCACTTAGGTTAATTGCCTCTGGCTATTGTCAATATGAGTATGTAAACTCTCATATTTAGTATGTAATGTATATGAGTCTGATTCGAACCCTTTTGGGCTGGAGCGATAGCACAGCGGTAGGGCGTTCGCCTTACAAGCGGCCAACATGGCCGACCCGAGTTCGATTCCACCGCCCCTCTCGGAGAGCCCGGCAAGCTACCGAGAGTATTCGATATGCCAAACACAGTAACAACAAAGTCTCCAATGGAGACGTTACTGGGTCCGCTCGAGCAAATCGACGATCAACGGGAGGGCCTTTACCTTTTTTACCTTAATGTATATGAAAGTGTGATTCTATCTTTGCCTTTCAGGTTTAAATTATTTTTAATAAATACAGACTTGGGTTTTTCTGGATGAAAATGGTAGCTTTGCTTCTAATATTTTGAGGAAAAATTCTATCCTGTTTTTGCAGACTATCTGCAAGAGTTTGTCATGTTGAGAATTCAGTAGTATACAAAAATTTTCCTTTAATCACAACCTTGCTGTAATTCTTAGTTTAGTTGTTTAATAAAACAAATATTCAAATTGGTGTAAGGTGATATGTCAGGTTTTAATTTGTATTTTCCTGGTGATTAATGATATTGTGTAGTTTCATGTGCCTGCTATTCATTTGAGTCTTCTTTGGAAAATTATATGTTCAGTTTCTTTTTAAATGTCTTTTTGTTATTGAAATGCATAAAGTTATTTGTATATTTTAGATATTAACCATTTATAAAATGTGTGATTTTCAAATTTTTTATTCCATACTTGTCATTTTCTTTTGCTAATATTTCTTTGTGAAGTTTTTTAGTTTAAGAAAACCTCTTTTGGATATGTACAACAGGAAGAAATCACACTCTTAAATGTATACGCACCTAATGAGGGAACAACTAAATATTTAAAACAACTGCTAACAGATTTTAAGGAGGACATTACTAGCAACACAATAGTAGCTGAAGACTTCAACATCGCCTTATCACCTCTGGATAGATCAACAA